AGGCCAGAAGGCAGCTGGAAAAGAAGGCAGAGTTGAGAAAAAGGCAAAACAACAGCTGTTCTGATTTTGATGGAAGGTAAATGGGCTTATCCGCCTTATGGCCCCAGGAGCAAAAAGAAAAGCAAAAGGAAAAAAAAAAAGCTCATTGCCCTCTGCTTATAAATTCTCCAGCGGCAGAAGGAAGTCTCCTGACTACTGTTGGGTTCTTCTTGGAGTGGGAAAAACTGAGCTACAGTGGGCCATTCCCAGCGCGCCAGCAATGGCTGCTCTCCTCCCTCTGGGCCCTGCATAGACACAAGAAAGCCCTGGGGAGAGTCCTGAAAGGACTTCCCCCTAGGGAGCCCATTCCTGGGCCCAGCCAGGCCCGCCAGCCCTGGGAAGCGGCTTCTCACAGCCTGGCTGGGCGGGAAGGGCAGGTGGTGCCCTTTGTGCCCACTCTGAGGCAGTGCCCGGGGCTGCCGGCTGCCTCCTTCTGGACAATGGCCATGGGCAGTGTGAAGGGGACTCCAGGAGCCTGGTGGCTTTGTTTGAAGCGCTGAGAAAATTGCCTTGTCCTGTGTACTTGGGTTTGCTTTAGGGCACTGAGGCCTTTAGAAAAGCCTGCCTGCCTGGAGGGAGCAGGGTGGGTCAGACACGCCCACCTTGAGTTCTCAGGAAACAGGGTCAGTGCCCTGTTAAGGTACAAGCTTCTCTCCTTTCCTCCCAGGACTGGTAATAGCTCCGGTGGAATTAGCAGCCCCTGCCGGACTGCTTTTCTATAAGTTCATCCTCTAGGCCTGTTGGAAAGGGACAGGCGGGGAGGAATATTAGGTGTAAGGGGCTTGGCTGAAGGGAATGCTCAGATCTGCTCTGCCTTTTCCCCCAGCCTCCCTCTGCGCTTCTGGGTGAATGTCATCAAGAACCCTCAGTTTGTATTTGACATTCACAAGGGTAGCATCACGGACGCCTGTCTCTCCGTGGTGGCCCAGACCTTCATGGATTCCTGCTCCACGTCGGAGCATCGGCTGGGCAAAGACTCCCCCTCCAACAAGCTGCTCTATGCCAAGGACATCCCTAGCTACAAGAGTTGGGTGGAGAGGTGAGTAGCTCCCTCAGGCACCCCCCTGCTCGGCTGCCCAAACTGTCGTCATCACAACTAAGGGCTCAGATACTATTTGCAGTTCCTGTGGGACCTCAGCGTCCCTGCTTCTTTCTGCTGTGGGAAGGAAAGGTGGCTTTATGCCCTTAAAAGTCTGAAGACTGTTTTCCTATTTCCATTTCTTGGGCACAAGCTAAGCCCTCAGCACGGTGATGTGGGTTTTGTATGTTATCATCTCATTTAAATGCCCAGCAGAGATGCTAAGCTTCCTAATGAGGAAGCTCAAGCACAGATAAGCTATACCAAGATCACCAGCTAGCAAGTAGCAGCGCTAGGATTTGAATCTAAGGAGTCTGGCCAGAGTCTGGGCTTTTAACCAATCTTGGCACTGTAGCCAGCTCTCAGCTGGATATAAATCTCCTGAAGAAACTCCAGCCTCAGACTTAGTTGAGCCAAGAGGGCAGCAAAGCCACATCCAAAGAGAAATGGGAAGACAAGAACAGGGGACACCCGGGGCTGTTGAGGGGGCCGAGGGACCCGGGGCCAGAGTAGATGCAGGCAAATTTTGCTGAGACCCTGAGAAGGGCCTTGTTCTGTCTACGGCAGATACTATGCAGACATCGCCAAGCTCCCAGCCATCAGTGACCAGGACATGAACGCCTACCTCGCTGAGCAGTCCCGCCTGCACGCCGTGGAGTTCAACATGCTGAGTGCCCTCAATGAGATTTACTCGTATGTCAGCAAGTATAGTGAGGAGGTAAGACAGGCTCTCACAGGGACAGAAACCAGCCCGCAGGAGACAGTCCACTAAACCGGAAGCTTGATTCAATCTTAAATAACAACCCCAGGGAGTCGCGTACTTGCCGAGCAAGCATGATAGTCCTGAGTTCAGAACCCAGCATCACCAACACAAAGAACATCAGCAGAGGTAACACATGCACAGAGTCAAAAGCCCGTGAGCTCCAAGTTGAACACTTTCTTACATACTGTTGTGTCTTCCTGTCATTGAACACACTAAGTGACACTTTGAATCGTTTCATTATCTTCAGTTCAAGGTAGGATGTGATCGACTGCATTCGATCTCAAACAATGAACCCAGCTGGGGGTTTTTTGGCACTTGGACAAACCCTTTCAGTCACATTTCAGTGAAACAGGTGCACCCTAACACAAATAGAGGTTGGGTTAGAGCTTGGAAATCAGAGGACACCAAACCTGAAAAACCCTGTTGTAGCAATAACTGACATTTACATAGCACTTCCTAGATTCCAAATACTGTTTGAAACACCTTAGAGATATATACTCATACATATAGCCATATATGGATACATATACCTATACACATATGTGTCTATACATGTAGATGTATGCATGTATGTGTGTGGCTATATGTATACATATGTGCATGTATAGTCCTGTACTATATGATGATGCTTTGTCCAGTGGTCAACAACATACCACATATATGAAATGATCCTATGCAATTATAATGTAGCTGAAACATCCCTGTGTAACCCCACATCCTAGCGTCACAGCACAATGTATGCCTCACATTTATGGTGATACTGATATAGACAAACCTACTGTGTTGCCTACCATATAAAAGAGTAGCACAAAGGCTGGGAAGGTGGCTCAGTGGTAGAGTGCTTGCCTTGCATGCATGAGGCCCTGGGTTCAATTCCTCAGCATCACATAAGCAGAAAAAGCCGGAAGTGGCACTGTGGCTCAAGTGATAGAGCTCTAGCCTTGAGCTGAAGAGCTGAGGGACAGCGCTCAGGCCCAGAGTTCAGGCCCCACGACTGACCAAAAAAAAAAAAAAGAAAAGAAAAGAAAAAAAGGAATGATGGGGAATTCTAACGGGGTACTGTGGGATAAGCAAAAGAGTAGCACATACAATTTGGTGCACAGTATGTAAAACTTGATTTAAAAATTGACTTGATGCTGGTGTACATGTTTACTATGATCACTTTTGTTGTTGTTGGTCATGGGGCTTGAACGCATGATCTGGGTACTATCTCTGAGCATTTTTGATCAAGGCTAGCACTCTACCACTTTGAGCTACAGTGCCACTTCCGGTCTTCTGGTGGTTAATTGGAGACAAAAGTCTCACGGATTTTCCTGCCTGGGCTGGCTTTGAACTGTGACCCTTCAATCTCAGCCTCCTGAGTAGCTAGGGATACAAGCCTCCTGAATTACCAGCACTCAGCTTACAGCATACTTTTGTTTGTCAATATTAAGGCTTAAATTCAAGGCCTCCCACTTTTGCTTAGTTGTTTTGTTTTGTTTTGCTCAAAGTTGGCACTCTACTACATAAGCCATACCTTCACCTCTGGCTTGTTGCTGTCTAGGCTGGCTTTGAACCAGGATACTCAGAACTCAGCTTCCTGAGTAGCTAGGATTACAGGTGGGAGCCACCCAGTGCCCAAGTATACTATATTTTTCCTGTAATTTTAGAATATACTTTGCCTATTTTACAGAAAAGAAAACAAAACACAGAAGTTTGCCATAAGACAGTATATAATGTTTAGATCAACTGCTCACACATTTTATTGTTTGTGCTTGATTTGATGCCATGTTTGTGTGAGAATGGTCTATACAATTTACATAATAACACAGTCACCTCAGGACCCAATTCTCAGAAAGTACCCTCATCATTAAGCCGAGCCTGATCACATGTACAGTCACTCGATCCAGTCATCCTTCCAGGCATCTAAAGTTGCATTCCAACTCTCCAGAAAGGAGAGGCAGACCGAAAGGTGGCTTTGGGGAGGACTCTCCCCAAAGGACGCTCTCCTTTTCTACTGCGTCTTAAAGCATCCCTCCCTCCTTTTGTTCTGTCCCTCAGCTGATTGGGGCACTAGAGCAGGATGAACAAGCTCGGAGGCAGCGGCTGGCGTACAAGGTAGAGCAGCTCATCAATGCCATGTCCATTGAGAGCTGAGAGGAGGACTTCAAGTTCCTGGGAGGAGGGACCTGTCCACGCTGTCACACTGGCGTCTCTGAAGGAAGGAAGGACCCGTGGAAGGGGGCGAGGCCCCAGAGCTTGCTGTCCCCTGAGACCGCCCTCCCCACCCTGGAGAGGCGATGCCAGCCAGCTTCCCGCGTCGCCAGTTCCTGCCAGGAAGGACCCAGGGCGTCACCCATCCACAGAGAGGACCAGGGACCCCAGGCGGGCGAGGAGATGGTGGCTCTTCAAGCTGAGAGGCTCAAGCCTCTGTGACTGCTGCTTGCATGAAAACTCATTCGATGTATATTGGGGGAAATACTGAGAACTTTATTTAATTTTTTTTAAGAAAAAGGGAAAAAAAAAACAGAAATAAAACAAAAAAAAAGCCACCCCGTTCATCCCATCCAACTTTTGTTTTAATTCTGATTTCTGTCCACCTTCTTTCTGTCCTCCATCTTTCCTTCCTCGTGTAACTCTTCTTTCCGATGTCAGAAAAAGCCGAAAAACAAGATGATGAGAGAACTTGGAAGGGGGAGAAATGGTCTCCTTTCCGACCAATTGAAAACACAAGAGGAGGAGGAGGAGGAAAATGAATGAATGAGCACAAGTTCTCACCCAATTCTTCGCAACTAGAGAGGCCATGGAAAACTGAACCATTCCGGCAGCCAGAAAAGTGTGGAACCTACAGACCTCTGCACAAATTCCCAAAATCTGAGTGGCTTCACCTGGCTGGAGGAAATAACAGCTTTATGAACCACACCTGTATATTCTCATCTCTTGAGTGAGGGCTCTGGCTATCCAGTTCCAATGCTTTTTTGTTTTTCCTACTGTGTTTAAAAAGCTCGTCTTTGGTACCCTTCCTCCTGGTTTCCCAGAGTTAATAGAAAAAGCTGGGGAGAAGGGGATTAGAACCTGCCCCCCCTCAGGACTCCAGCAACTCTGCTGCACATCAGCCAGGCATTCTGTGGTGGTGTAGACCAGGCCTCCGGAAGTTCTCTTCGGGAGTTGACTTAGGGACACGGAGAGCTGGGTTTGGATACTACTCCAGTCATCTAGTGGTTTCTGGCAAAATTAAAAAGAAACAAAGAAGAATCAAACAGTGTTTACAGCAAGCAATACTCTAAAAGAGCATGGATTTGAAGAAGCTGTGGTTATTTATTATTACACTTTCTTTCTCTTGTGCCTGGAGCGAAGACACAGCCCTCCGTCCCTTTGTTCGGATCGCAAGCTCCTGCCCACATGGGCATACCTTCCTAGCCTCTGAGGAAATGACTGTGGCCTCCCCACGTCATTGTTACCTTCTGCCTCTCATGGACCATTGAGTGTGAAGGACAAGTGGATGGTTTCTCACTGAGATGCTTTCCTCCCCTCTCTCTCTCCTGTGGGCACCTAAACCACAGATTGCCAGCTCTCCTGTGTAGAGTTCCTAGAGACCAAAGCTCCACACCCAGATGTGAAGACCTCAAAGAAACCAGTAGAAGTCTCCTAGAGGAGGGCAGCTCTACTGGTGGCAGGACTGTAATGACCAGTGCCCAACAGAACACCAACCTGTGGATCCAATCAGCCAACTCAACTTCCTTACCAACATCATTGGAGCTGGGGTAGGACGATGAAAGAAAGATGGAGCTGCTAGGTCAGGAGAGAAGCAAGCTTCCCCTCTCCTCACCTTTGTCCAGTGGGGGGCCCAGTCTACCATGTTGGAGACCCGGATCAGCTATCCCAAGAGAGACTAGACCAGGGTCATTTCCTTTGAGTTCAATAGCTTCTCTGTGCCCTCCAGGCAATTCCAGTTTCCTACTGCTCTAGTGACCACATGTGATTCCCAGGAAGGGGCTAGGGAAGGGAGCCAGGAAGGCTGGCCTCCATCCCTGGCGTGTGGCTTTGGATTGCCTGCTAACCACACAGCAGATGCCTGAGCTCTTCAGCTCCAGTTTCTCGCCTGAATGCAGCTGACAATGGAAAGAGAAAAGCACTCAGCAAAATACTCAGGAAACTTGCTGTTTTCATTATAATTCACAAGCAGCCATGCCAAGGCCACTTTCTTCTGATAATCTACTTCTGTTCAAGTTTCTTGGGGTCCTATTAATAGCTTGAAAGAAATACTAATGACTGGCCTTCCACACTAAGCCAAAGTGTTTGCTCTTCACAACACCCAAAGCTTATGAGCTCCAAGCACATCATTTATGGAAATAAAAGGAGAAGGGAGAAGAAATGTAAGCAGGAAACTTTATGCTCCCCATGAAAAATTCCAGCCTGTGGACATTTTACTTGTGAGCTCTGTTTGAATGGAGAGTTCCTGAGCACACTGTTGCTCACATTGGCATCCAGGGCTGCTTTTCACCATGAACCACCGTGAAGTAGAAGAAAATCAGAGCTCTCTTCCAACAGCATCTCGCCCACCTCTACATAACCACCTCACAGAAACTCCTCTGAGGACCATTCATCCATTCCCCCTTGGAGTACTTCTTGGAGGTATTAAGAATGATGGGAGGGTACAGACCACTGGAGAGTAGAAAGAGCCAGAGCCAGCAGTAAGTAGTCTGGCCACATTTCTCAGGATTTCATGAGAGAATTGAGGACCTGGGCTGACAAAAGAGGTGGTAAGAGGGATAGCCTTAAATTAAGGAGTGGGGAAAGTCAGCTAGACACAGGCTAGGCCGTGAGGATGAATGGTTTCAGAGGCTTACCCCCATTCTAACTTTCTATCTCTCTGTCCTCCACCAACCAACCTTTGCTTGGGCCTCCAAAGCCCAGTAGAGTCCACGCCTCATGGAATAGAGATGAGAGGCCTCTGCTTGGCCTCTCTGTTTTTGGTGTTATGCAACTTGAGGATCTTTGGGCCTTGTGTAAAAGAAGTATTAAAGCCACAGCCCTTCTCTACAAGAAGCCATCCATCTGGGGGAGCTGGGGTGAGGGGAGGGCAGGAAGCTTCTCTCTAAAGTCTTTCCAGCTTGGCTTTGTTTTGTTGAGCTGCTCAAGAGACAATCTGTGGGAAAAGAACAAGACTCTGCCAGTGAACAAGATGGAGAGCCAGTCCCTCCAGCTGTGCCCTGTCACCCCTCCTGCGGTCTGCATGCTGGACCCTGCCACCACCTCCCTCCGTCTGGGCGGGTCAGGTGCTTCTAACGTTGGACATCCTACCTCTTTCCACAATGTGTCTCTCGAAACCATTTCTGATCCACCTCTTCTCACAGCGTCCAGTCGCTGAAAACACGGATGGTCAGGAGGAGGGAACTGTTCCTTGCAGCCATCCATTTGGAGAATCTTCTTGGGCAGCAGCCGCCTGCCAATCACTGTTTGGGGATGAACAAGACGGAGAAGGTCCTGCATCTAGCAAAGGAATATCCTTCTGGTTGCTGCCAATAGGGCAGCGGGCACCGTGCTCCTCCCCCACTGACAGAAGACGCTGTATAAGAAATGGGGTGCAGAAGGAAAAAGCTGACCCACCCAGCTGCCTTACCTTGTCCTGGGGACAGCTCCCCCCAGCATTGAGAGCTGCTCCTGTTTCTGTCACTGCAGGCTCTTCTGGTGGTCCCTCCCCTGCTTCCTTCCCTCAGTTCTACCCAATGCGGACAAGTAGTCATCAAGACCCCCGGACCTGCTGAGCATGAAGCAGAGGCAAGAGTGGTACGCAAAGACTTAAAAAGTCAAGACGGATCAAATAAAGAAGATTGGAAAGCCCCTGCCTGATGGGTCTCCAGCTGCATGCATTTGCCACATCTGCCCTCTTCAACCTGCTTTTAAAAAATACTGAGCCAGCAGCTACCAGGAGGTGGTGGGAGGAGGCCCTTTTGCCCAGTCACACCATGTCATGCAGAGACGCCCGGGACCTGGACACAGATTGGGAAGAAGTCAGATGGAGCGGGCTGTGAGGGTGAAAACAATGCAAAGGGGCCTCATGCACATGGCGCGTGGGGGAAGGTCCCACAGTGGCGGGGGACACGGGGACGGAAGTCAGAGCCATCAGATGCCTTGTCTCAGGAATGTGCTTGGAGAAGCATAACCCCACATCTCTTTTCCCTGTCTCCATCCCTGCTCCGGGCTTCCCTCCGAGTGAAGTGGTACCATCTGGCCCTCAGCGATGTCCACGAATGAAGGGTAAAGTGTCACCTTTGGTACTTGTTAATTAGTCGGGGAAATGCCCCAAGAGACAATCAAAACCAGTGCTTCTCAGACAGGGCCCAAGAGGCAAAGTGGATGTTCCTCCCCCTTGTATGGACGCTCTGCAGCCGCTCTCTCCCACATGAAGCTGCCTGGTCCCTGCTGCGGTGCAGCTGCCTCCAGCCCCAGCCTAAGCAGGGTGGGAAGAGTATGCAGTTCAGAGTTCCAAACTCCAAGTTCCCTTTGACTTTATTTGTCTCCATGTGGGTAGCAAAGTCCAATGAAGCAGGGCCCCACCCAACAGGAAAGACATTCCTGAGTTATGAGGAGAAGGAACAAGTTCATAATACCATGAGACAAGGGGTCTGAGCCCACCTGCCTCTCCCCCAACTCCTCCTACGCAAACCCCTCCCCCTCGACACACTGGAATCTGTATTATATCTATTTTTAAGGAAATACAAGCTGGTTGTCTGGTTTTGTTGTTTTTACAGGTGTTGTGAAATAATAAGAAAATTAAGTATTTAAAATGTTCCAATAAAGCGGGGTTTTTTTGTTATTCTAATATATTATCATGTACCTATTGTAAATATGAAACACTCCTATTTTGCAAGCCAAGGACACAATTTGTACTGTTGTTATATATAAATAAAATTTACTGGATTAAAAAAAAAAAGACAGAAGCACTTTAACTCTTCAGATAACCTGTTCGTTTGGTAGTATTGATGTAGCATAACTTCAGAGGCTATTTACAAAGCTCAGTGCTCACAGAAAGATGAGCTAAGTTGTTTTGAGAAAGTTTAAGAATTCTCTCTGGAGCCAGAGCTATGTCCAGTCACACACACACACACACACACACACACACACACACACACACACACACACACACACACACACACACACACACACACACACACACACACACACGCGCGCGCGCGCGCGCGCGCGCGCGCGCGCACTCTGCTCTGACTGTACTCATGGTTGAACACTGCCCCCTAGTTCCAAGACCCCAGAATACAGCTTTCCTCCAGTGGGTCCTTACTTTAGATGTCCCAGGATGAAGCCTATTCCCAGAGTGAAGCTTCAGAAGAATGAGACCCCCGGCCCTGTCCATGCTTCTGAAAAGTGCACCCATTCACTTTTGCAAAGCCTTTGTCAAGCATGGCTTGGCACTGTGGTAGTGTATGGTGTAAGAAGTGAGAAAGGCTTGATCCTTGTCCCCAACAGCCTTCCAGAACCGGGAAACTGTAAGGACCCGGGAAGGGGGTGATTCAGCCAGGCACCGGGAAGTGTTTTCTTGTTTCTTTGTATTTAGTTGGAGGATTAAAAGTAAATCCAGGGAAAGATATCAAATAGTGTGAGATGTTAGATCCAGCCTAGAGAAGGGAGAAGAGGGCAGGCCCTGGCTTCGGAGGCCAGAGGCAGGAGACATTTCACAGGCTTAGAAGAGAAGGGATCCTAAAACACCCCCGTCCTTGGGCTCCCTCTAACCTGAGGATGCTATGTCCTCTCTCTTCTTTTGCACTTGTTTTTCTACTTTTCATCCAAAGCTGCCTCAGTGTGTGTGTGTGTGTGTGTGTGTGTGTGACTTCTGCTCTCTCACTGGTAACACAAACACATGAGAGCTACTCAAGAATCTATCCACCCAATATCCCAACCAAAAGCACACTAGAACTGCTGGTCCCAGACCAGGCTGGGTCCTCAGCGAGGCCACTGGCACTACCAGTAGAATCTCATGAAGGAGGAGATGCAACACCTGCCGTAAGAGCCTCTGACTGATAGGGAGATACAGACCCTGCTTAACCTGAAGACCCAAGGCAGATATGGGCAGCCAGCTCTCTCTCTCTCTCTCACACACACACAAATAGGGTCTGGACTTGCAAAGCAAGACGTGTGTGTGTGTGTGTGTGTGTGTGTGTTTGTAGTTCTGCCAACTAATATAGTATATACCAGAATTGTCTGATTTTTTACAGTTGCAAAAAATAATTGTTGAGAGTCTTTTCAGTCACAACTTAGCAAGACTCTGAGATTCAGGGGTTTGTGTGTCTCCACCATACTCCACACATGTGTGTGCACACAATACCAAACATGCTGTTTTCTGAGAGAGAGGAGGAAAGAGGCCAAAACTGGTCCAGAGGGTGAGAAAAATACAGAATCCTGAAGAGAGGAAGCCGGACAGAGGCCCGTTTGGTCGCAGTGTATCGTGTACCATAGCATCATGGACCTGCTTCTCCCTGAAATGTAAACCTACCGTGCAGAGGCTCTGTGCTCTTCCACAGCCACAGGGTGCAATCATTCCTCAGCAAAAGTAATAAGGAGGCCCTGGCAAGCTGCTGACCTTTAACCCTGAACACAAGGCACAAGACAACCCATCAGATGAGACTGGCCGCCTCTATCACTGCCCACCCCAGCACCTGGCTTTTTTGCAAGAGAGCTTTATTGGATCTAGAGAAATCTAGAAAGAAGAAAGTATCTCTCTAAATAAGGGCTTTCTGATCCTGAGCTTCCCCTCCAAGCATCTTCCTTCTCACAGTGATTGGACAGGGCACCCTCTATTATTAAACACTGCCACAGGAGCTCTCATCCTGGAGAAAGAAAGAAAAAGACATGGGGAATCCACAGGTGCCTTGTCTGTCTGTCATACTCAGTGTTCACTGTTTTATTCCTGGAATACAGCCTAGCGCATGGCCTGCCTCAGTCACCCAATAAGTACATTTCAAGTAAACAGCTGACTGGCCAAACAGAACTCGAGAGTCACCCACCGAATCCCAGGCATGGAGCACCCTTTCTTTTCTTTTTTTACTTTTATTGGGCAGTCGTGGAACTTGAACTCTGGGCCTAGGTGCTGTTCCTGAGCTCTTCAGCTCAAGGTGAGCCTTCTACCGCTTGAGCCACAGCACCACTTCCAGTTTTCAGGTGGTTAATTGGAGATTACTTTCCTGCCTAGGCTGGCTTTGAACCGTGATCCTCAGATCTCAGCCTTCTGAGTAGCTAGGATTACAGACGTGAGTCACCCTTTCTTGATAGCTTCTCCTTTATTCTCAAATGACTGGAGTATTGTTGTTGCGGGTTGTTTTTTTTTTTTTTTCTTTTTCAGTCTGAGTTTCGGAGAAATTAAAGATTTATTTAAGACTTCCAAGTGGAAGTCCAATTCCAGAGTTCAGAGTCCATGCCTTTTCCACTGCGCCATGCTGCCTTGCCTTAGTTCTAAAAGGATTTAATACTGCCAGTCCTGCCCAGACGTGGAGCCTTCCTCTTGCAGCAAGCAGATGCTGAGGGAGTACACGTCAGCATTCATTAATATTCATGCTTGTTCCACACAACTGACACCTGCCCCTCACTTGCTGTGAACTTGACGCTGGACAAGCATCTAAAAGGGGGAAAAAGAAACGTGTTAAAAGTGTTGGTTCTCCAGAAGTTCACAACCTGACATCAACACCAAATCCATATTTCATATTGCAGCGAGAGGACTCTGTGGGGGCTGGGCTCTGGAACATGAGGGAAAAGCTCGCTTGAAAAGCCTCTCAAGAGAACTTAGGGAGTTGGGCCTGGCTAGTAATCCGTCCTTGATCACATTGACGCTGTGAGCTGTCAAACATCTCTGCTCAGTGAGTGAGCTGAACGCAAAGGTGGCTCCGATCTGTTTCATATTGACTGCTAGAAGCTTAGCCTCAAATGGGGGGCCTCTCTGCAGCCAACGAACAGGACTTTCTGCCGGGTGGTATTATATGTTGGTCACTACTGGTTTTGCTTTCCATCCCTGCTTTATCCATTCATCTTTGGCCTTCACCCCTAACTCCTTTCTCAATGCTAGGTTTCATGTATCCCTGACTAGTAGTAACAAAAGCCTTGGGTTCAGGTTATCTTGTGTTGGACTTCGTTCTCAAACTCTGTGTTCTGGGACAAGTTCCGTAATCTCCTGATGCATTGATTTTTCAAATCTACAAATACAGTGTGTCACGTAAGCATTAAATAATATGTTGAAAGAAAAACTGAGCAGCAATGCAAATCTCTCCTTCTGGCATCTGGAAGGCTGAAGCAGGAGACTGTGAACTCGAGGCAAGCTTGGGCTACATAGTAAGACCCTGTCTTAACATTTAAAACCAGTATCTTGTACGAGTTAAATAAGCAATGTATGTAATATATTTGGTATACAAGAGTGGGGGAAGTAATCATTTATCCTTCCTTACCTGCAGGCGAGAAGAAATGAGATTCTCCATCTGGCAATGGATATGAAAGTTGATGTCTAAGAGTTAAGCCCTTAGGAAACCAGACAATGGAGGTTGACCTGAAAACATAGGAGAGGAAGGAAGGCTTTTACCTAGAACGTGCTATGAAATACACTACACGTTAATGGAAATTAGCGGCAAGAAATGGGTCAGGCCAAATTCCCATGTGCTAAGGTCTCAGGCAGGACATAGTTGGCTAGAACAGCAGTTGTTTGTCCAGGATGAAGACCCAAAAAAGTATTTGGGTCTGTCTTAGGCTTTTTTCTTTTGCCAGTGTGACAAATACCTGAGAGAAACAAGGTGTCTGCTAAACCAAGAGACTGAGGGCAAGGGCAAGGCCTGGAGGTGGTGATAGACAAGCAGCGCAGTCCCCAGAGCTGGAGAACCCTCGCTCCAAGATTCAAAAGGGACAGGGAGATGTGGGAAAGTCCCTGAGATGTCGCTTGTAGAGAAAGAACGAGGGAGGCAGAAGACAAGACAGGTAGACCAAGCCCACTGATATTTGAATGAAGCCCAAGGCTGCTCAACATATGTGGTTGCAATGTTTATTTAGCCTTTCCAGGCCCTGGGGTTTGTTACACTATAAACCTTGTTCATTTCCTTGTGTGGAAGTCTTAAGAGAATTTTGAACATAAAAGGGGATAGTACAGGCTCAGGAACCAGGAGAATCTTTCAGCGCTGAAGTGGACACAGAGCAGCTGATAAGAAGAGAGTTGATTGGCCAGCTCTCTCTCCAAAGAGAGACAGGAGAGGAAGAAGAGAGTAGATTGGCCAGCTCTCTCTCCAAAGAGAGACAGGAGAGGAAGAAGAGAGTAGATTGGCCAGCTCTCTCTCCAAAGAGAGACAGGAGAGGAAGAAGAGAGTTGATTGGCCAGCTCTCTCTCCAAAGAGAGACAGGAGAGGAAGAAGAGAGTTGATTGGCCAGCTCTCTCTCCAAAGAGAGACAGGAGAGGAACCGAGGCATACCTACAGTTCTGAGATGGCCTGTGTCCTGCGTAAATAACTTGACCTTCCTTTTTTTTTTTTTTTTTTTAACTCCCTTCTACTCTCTTTCAGGGGCAATGTTTAATTCACCAAGAAACCACAGATGTAAGGGCTTGGGACAGGGCCCACATCCAACCATCTCAGCCGCCACTGCTCTAACCTTCTTCCTAGGCTCCCATGACCATTTCCTGATTTCTTCTATGTGTCTTTAAACTGAACTAAAATCAGATCTAGTCAGAGCAGGGGACAGCTGACCAGGTACATAGCATGGAAGGCCTGGTAAAATGGCACTTTCAAGTCTTCCCGTGATATCCTCTGACCTCAGTCCTCAGGAAATTCTAAATGTGGACATCTGTGATAGGATGTTCCCATATGCCCACCACAAGTGGGTGGAGGATGGAGGCATCCTCCGCCCCTAGAGCCTCCATCCTTGCATCAGTAACAGTGCTG